TAAGGAAATTAGGTCAAACTTCAAGATCATGGGTAATGAAAATCATAGTGTATGAAGAATGGTATTGTCCCATTTAATACTAATACACATGTTTAATATAAAAGTCCTATCTCTTCTCATTCAAAATATACGACCATGATGACCAAGGTTAAATTTATTGTGACAGATGGGCAGATTGACAAACAAATGAGATTTAATGTACACTACCTTTAGCAAAAATGGGGACAATAAATGTCTTTGCTGTTCTTGAGAAGAAGATTTATGTTGGAACAAGATGTGTTTGTGAAACACTACGCGCCCGGCGGCAACAAAGTTAAAAAAATCTTCTTTTAGCATATTGATCACAGTCAAGGTCACAAGGTCATTGACCATGGTGTCATTCGAAAGAACTTAATCAGTGGAGTATGCGTACTAAATATGAAGTCCCTAATCTCCTATGGTTCAAAAATTGTGGCAAAAAGTGTAAAGAGCTATTTTTAGCATATCCGTCACAGTCAAGGTCACAAGATCATTGACCTTGCCGTCGTTTGAAAGGACTTTATCGGTGGAGTATGCATACCAAATATGAAGTCCCTATCTCCTATGGTTCAAAAGTTATGACTAACAGTGGAAAAAGCTATTTTTAGAATATAGGTCACAGTCAAGGTCACAAAGTCATTGACCATGGTGTCATTTGAAAGAACTTAATCGGTGGAGTATGCATACCAAATATGAAGTCCTTACCTCTGATGGTTCAAAAGTTATGGCAAAAAGTGTAAAAAGCTATTTTTAGCATATAGGTCACAGTCAAGGTCACAAGGTCATTGACCTTGATGTCATTTGAAAGGACTTTATTAGTGGAGTACGCATACCAAATATGAAGTCCCTATCTCTCATGGTTCAAAAGTTATGACAAACAGTTGAAAAAGCTATTTTTAGCATATAGGTCACAGTCAAGGTCACAAGGTCATTGACCTTGAAGTCATTTGAAAGGACTTTATTAGTGGAGTATGCTTACCAAATATGAAGTCCCTTATTGTTCAAAAGTTATGGCCAAGGTTAAAGTTGACAAACAGACAAACAGATAAACAGACAAACAGACAAACAGACAGGACAAAAACAATATACGCCCGGGATCTATCGATCCGGGCGCTTAAAAAGTACCCTGCATATTTAAATGTAAATTGGTTGAAATTAGCCCAGTGGTTCTTAAGAAGTTAATGTGAAAAGTTTGCAGATAAACAGATGGACAACAGAAATCAGTACATTTCAGAAAACAGTATGCTTATAAATAGTTAATCTAGGTGCTTTGGGTAGCAAAATAAAGCTAAACTGGTATATCTAATTCATCCGCAGAGCTTAGTATATTTCAATATGCACAACCTTTTCAACTCTTATAATTATTTTTTAAAATTTATATCACCATGTCTCATTCAAGGGAGAACTAGAGATATGACCAGATGTATATCTGTTGAATATAAAATATGTACATGTATTCTGTGTTTTTTTTTTTAGTAATTTGTTTGTTTGTTGTGACAGCAACTGTTATGGCAGCTTTTGGCAAAGGTTGAAGTTTCTCAAATGTAAGTCAAACTCCAAGGTCAAGGTCAAAGGGTCTAAATTGTTGGTATCAAAGGGAAAGTCTTGTCACAAGGAATACACATGTGAAAAAAGGGAGCAATCCCTAGAACTTCCTCACCTGTTCAAAAGTTATTGCCAAGGTTAAAGTTAAATTGGATTCAACTCTAAGGTCTAGGTCAAAAATAATCATACCTGTTGAAAGTTCACAATGATTACACATGTAAGAGCATGAAAGTCCTAGCACCACCTGTTCAAAACTTACGCCAAGTTCAAGGTATTTTTCTTGTAAAATTGGGTAAAACTCCAAGGTCAAGAGATCAAGAGGTCAAAATTGGTGGTACCCATTAAAAGGTTTTGCCAAAAGAAATTTACCTATGAAATATTGAAGCCATGTGTATAGCCCAATCCACTTAAAAAATATGGGCAAGGTTAAAGTTTCCGTGGACAGACAAAAATACATAAACATGGGAAACAAAATATGTATAAATAGTCAATTGAAAAAATTTTCTACTATTATGGAGTCATAAGATCAATTGTCATTTCAGGTACAGGGAGTCAGTGGCTAGGGAGATCAGACCCCCCCCCCCTGGAATTAGCAGTTATTTAAATAAGACTATATATGTACTGTAGAGAATAAAAATGACTTTGGACATCCTCCCCCTTAGAAAACAGGGACTCCACCATCATTGTTTTTATTATTATTTTTTATTTCCATCTCAGGAAATCTTGGGCTGATTTTTTTGACTGAGGTGTGACACCCCCCCCCGTTCTGAAAAAAAATTCTGGATCTGCGGCTGTTATATATACTGAATGTCCGCAACGGAGATAACTTGACAATGTGAAATTTGTCGACTGTGGCATGCGATGATCTTTGACCATGTTGACCCTTTTTGAACTTCAACCTAACCATTTGCATTTATTTATTTTTATGCAATCTATACTAAATCTTGTACTTACCGAATGTCATAGGTCGTGACAACGAATTCATGAAATATAATCCATATAATCCAATTAAAACACAAATGATTTTAACTGACCACACTGCATCGTCAGCATACATGTGCTAAATAATCTCATTCGACAAACCTTTGCTGATTCCATTGCCAGTATGAATTGGCCGAGGTGTGCCGAGAGGTGATATCTATAAATATGATAATGGGTGACGCAAACCCAATGTGAATGTAGAAAATGAAACTGTTTAGTACAAGAACAAATTTCAAACTATCATAATAAACTAAACTATGTTTTTTAAAAAATGTGAGAGTGAGAGAGAGTGTGTGTGTGTGTGTGGGGGGGGGGAGATAGGCATTGACAAATTAATCGGGTTGTATTTTCAATGGGTTTTTTTCCCGACCAAATACGAAAATCAGTTTGCACATTTTGATAAATTCATCAAAAACGCTTTGTACTAAAATAATATTTTATGTCGTTGAGAAAGTAAATTTAAAAAGTTCCAAATTATGGGAAAATTATTTATTTGAATCTAATTAAGTAATTTACTTCAATCATTAATTAAATTCTGTTATTTCAGACTGGTTATGAATTAAGTATTTTAAAATACATATGTGAGGCTCAGAGTTGATATGGTCATCTGAAAATTTTATGTTCAATTTGACGAATACATGTACGGTGATAATTATAGAATTATTTTGACTTCTTCCTTGGAAAGTCCAATATGAATGAGTGTATATTTAGAGGCAAACACCATAGTGCGGGTATTACTGTCTCATGACAGCATCTAGTGTTACACTGTTTTTAAAAAACTTTTGACGGTAAAAAAGCTTTATACTCAATTGCCACCAAAATTTTTGAAAAATGAGTGAAAACGACAGCGTATACGAATGTCTTAACAATTATTTTAAAATATCAGTAACTGTAGTTATCCACGTTTGTTTGATATTTAAACAGATAATGGAATATGAATCTATTGTTTTAAACCATAAAAACAAAATTTACCATAAAATGTACTTGATAAAAACAGCGAAGGTTTGACAAGAGCAAAGATAAGCAAGAGCACAAAGACAGATTTATATGCAATTTTCTTAAATATTGGTGGAATAGTTGTTCAAACTCGTACTCGGGCAGACGGTTTAATTTCTAGAGGACTCTGGAAGCAATTTTCTTTGCATAAAAATCGAAAGGTTTATTGGAGGAACGGCCTAGAATCAGGAATCTACTATATTAAATTTCTTCATGACAGCGTCCAAACCCACACGCCCTGAAGAGTAAAGGGGTTTTCGGGATAAACAGAAAGTTAAAGTTTTTTCACATTAACAATATTCGCCAGATCTTTGACCTTTTGACTTGTTTCTATTTCCAAACTTGAAAAAACACCTTTCAGAAGGAAGAAACAAGTCCAGGAAATTATAGGTATCTGCTATTTTCCAGTATACTAAGGGTCATACCAAAAAATGAGTTCTAAAACAATCAGAAATTGGATAAAAAGTGTCACTGGCATGTGTTTTAATTAAAAGAGATTAATATATATATATATATTCAGTTTCCAAACAAAATAAAAGCTCTCTATCTTCTCTAATTTAAATTTTAAATAGACCGCTGAACATTAGCTGGCAAGATTGGAAAAATGCAGCTTTACGTCATTTTTATCAGTTACAATCAAAACATTTAATGATAGACAATGGAATGGGCTGGTACAATTCGAAGCGGACGACCGAGAAAACATTGGAAATGAAATTCTAGTTTGAAATTTATTTTCAATCCAACTCAGCTACGCTAGAGGGCAAATTATTACTGATTGACCCAGAAGACAAATACTTTCAATTTAGTTTAAAAATATAGTTTAAAAATAATATATACATATGTAAATCAGAATTTTCTGTCCAGCGTTTTAAAGAAAGATATGAAGGGACAAATATTTGATTTCTGTTTGGTATAATTTATATACGGGGGGGGGGGCATAACGATCTTGGAAATAAATAAGAAAATTGTCAAACATTTCTCATTGAAAACTAAAAAAAAAAAGCTCTTCTCATCCTAAAAATTAATTGGTACAAAGCATGAACTGATTTGACAATTTTTGACCCCCCCCTTCTAGAATCAAATGGCGGCCGTCTCCTGAAAAAATGCCTTCTATGACTTTTACAAGTGTCCTTAAGATAATATTATAGGCTATAAACTCATATCAATATTAATTTCAACCAACGTGTATTTGGGAATTGAAATTATTTGTCTTTTGGATCATACATGTACATTCACACTTTGCTTTTGAAAACAACTCAGGTGGATTGAAAATGAATTTAATTCAAACTAGAATTTCAATCCAATGTTTTCTCGGCCGTCCGCATCGAATTGTACCCGCCCATTTCATACACTATTGGACCTTAGTACTACAGTGTGAAACAAAATAACTTGCTATAGATTCTATCGACTGCATACTAGTATATAAAAGATCAATTTCATTACAATTATTAGTATTCATCATGGAGTACAGGTTCCTTGTGACTTTTCTTTTGGTTTTAGATATTTCCATTCTTATTTCTGCAAAGTGCAAGGATGGATATCGTAAGTTGAATTTTCAAGAGGCCTTTTTTAAGACAGTATCATCATTCCAAAGAATTTAGACAAAACTTTATCTTATCATTTTTTAATCACTACTCGTATACACCAAAACGTGTATTTGCTATGCTTGATTTTAAAGGTTCTAACGGTTATTTGTTAACTATTATGTTACGCTGTAAATTTTGCATTTTAAAGCCACCTGGTAAATTCAAAATTTGCAACAATTGTTTTTTTTTCCAGGTTCCTGTAAGGATATTTTATCCAGATACCCACAGAGCAAGAGTGGGGAGTATCAGCTGATTACTGAGGACAGACAGACGGTCACAGTCTTCTGTGAGTTTTCGTCAAGATTCCATGGTTACACGTACATCAAAGACTACCCAGGTTCCTCATTTGATTTGGGCGGACTTTACACAACATCAAAAGAAATCAAAGTTGTCCACCTTCGGACTTCTGGCAAGCGATATAGCACAACAATGGAAGAGTTAAATCGGTACAGCTTACAGGTTTCATTGAGTTTTCAGGTCGACAAAAATAAGGGCTTTAATACACCACTGAATGTTCCATTTCTAGGGAAGTACATTTATGTTGGATTCCTCCCAAAAGACATTGCTGCAAACCGTAATACCCAAGGATACCGTGCCGGATCTAAAGACTGGGAATTTAGAAACTGTGACGCAAATCCAAATTCTTACATCGCCTTTTTCTACAACAATTCACCTCTACCAATTCACAGCTATCATAGGCGTTGTTGCTATAATAGTTATATGCGAAAATGGATCGATGTGTCCAGGGACTATAGTCTGCGTTTGCCAAGAGAGTACTTCAGGTTTTTTGAGATGCACATGGGAGGGTGTGGAGGATATGTCGTTCCCGGATTTAGTTCCTTTTCTGATATTGTAGGCGCCGTGCCTGGATTTCGTTTTGGTAGGGGTTGATTTTATTAATCATTATATCTTTGCAAACAAGGTTTGGGAAGGGGTGCATATGAATGAACTTGTTTCTTTATCCGTTTGTCTTTACAATATTTTGTGTTCTTGCTAGAACTTTTTAATGCATGAATCATTTACGTATTGCAGAGAAAAATAGAAATATATCCATTGGATATGAATACCCGCCGAAGGTATATTAGTAATGCAACATGAAAAGTTGTATTAGTGTAAGAAATTTGATGAGAATATCTTGAAAAGTTTCTTTACAATTCAAATTGAAATCTAGAAGGTTGGTTATTATAGTGTACATGATAAATATCAACAGATAATGTATAAGTGCATAAGCTTACATAAATGTATTTTAAATGGTGTCTTCAAAACTAAGCAAAATGCACATTTAGGGGAAATGAGGTCAAGGTCACAGGAAAGTTCAAGGTCAAAGGTTTTTGATGCATTTGATTTGATAGTTTTCATAAATACGTATCAGCATTTGTTTGATAAAAAATATTTTGTATGATTTATTTAAAACTTATTTAAGAAATGTGAGATCAAGGTTAATGCCATATATGGCGTAACTGATCAAAAAAACTTATTTTTGAAAAATACAAAATTAAGTAAAGAAATATAGTTCATACATTTAAATTAAAGCTTTTCATACAATTCTGAACACGGAGAACACCTCGTTTCATCTAATAATATAATTTAATCTTCTCTGTAATGTGTTATTTAAATCTTTTGTATTTTCTTCCGAGTCGGAGAAAATTCCGAGAATCCAAATTAAATTGTGATATCTTTATAACGCAATTGACCTAGATTTTGTAATTTACAGAAAAGTTCTATCTTTATATAAAGTAATGATACAAATAATAAGTTCTTATAATTTTAGTCTAATAATTTTCATTGTACATACGCCATATATGGCTTTAAAGGGAAGGTCAAGGTAAAAATGTTCAAGCAGTTTAATAGCTTAACGAGGCTGGGGGGTGGCAGCCATTTTCAGACTATTTCTATCTCCTTTGAAAGAAGAGCTCCATATAAAGATATAGAAAATGATCAAATTTTTAAAATAATTTTTTCTAAATATTTCTTTGCCAAATGATAGTTGACAGCTTAAGATACCATATCTAAAAAAATAAGTTAAATCTGGTGGTTAATTTGTGATTAATTTGCTGACCCCCAGCCTCCTTAACATCAACATGTATCAGTATGTATCAACATATGAAGGTTGATAAAAAATATTTTGAATGGTTTCTTTAAAAATGAGCGAAATATTAATTTAAGAAAGTGAAGTCAAGGGAAAGGTTAAGGTCTAAAAATGTTGATGCAGTTGAATAGCTTACACCAGTACGTATCAACATATGCAGCTTGATGGCACTATCTTGAATGATATCTTTACAACATGGCGAGACATTCATTTAAGAATAGTGAAGTCAAAGCTCAAAAAGAGAGGTCAAGGTAAAAAAAATGTTGATACAGTTGCATAGCTCTCATCATTATCTATCAGCATATGAAGTTCGATAAAATTATTTGATGACACTACAGTATCTTGAGTGGTATCTTTAAAACTGCGCTGCACACTACTCAAATACTTTAAGAAAAATGAGGTCAAGGCCAAAGGAAAGTTCAAGGTCAAAAAATGTTGATGCAGTTGCATTGCCCTCAACAATATCTATCAGCCTATGAAGTTTAATAACAAAATATCTTGGATAGTTTCTTTGAAACTGAGCTTTGAACAAAGCTAAATGTAATGCACGACGGAAGGACGAAAGACGGACATAACAAACGCTATATTCCCCGGCCATATTCATGACGGGGCATAAAAATGTCTCGGTATGGTTTTTCTCTTATAATGCCTACAAATTGGAAGTTCATAATACAAAATTAAATAGCCAAGAAGCATTGATATTCTGACTTTTGATAAGGTCAAGGCCACGTGCATATGGTTTTAGTATATAGTAACCTTGGCCTAAACTCGTTTTGGTAAGCCATAAGGTCTTTGAGAAAAAAAAAAGTCTGAACTTGATCGCAAGTGACACACAGCGCACCCCAAGACCATGAAACATTTAAAGCGTACAATATAAGTTATGTTCTCAATCACAAGCTAACAGTGATTCATTGAAATTTAAACAGTTTTTAGAAAAGTGAATTGGCATCGTTTAAGAGAGAGAGAGAGAGAGATATTTGAAACTAGGTGAATTTCATGAATCGTTCATGGAGTTTCCCTTGTTTTTTTAAAAACACTGAAATTTTTTTTATTTGTCGATTTTTCACAAAATATTGCTATATTTTTGAACCATGTTACTGAGTATTAAATAAATGAGGCATTCATTCAGAAACCGAATGTTGTTTTTGTACATTCTAGGGTATGGGTATTTGCGTTGCCTAACACCCCCATATACTTCGTAATTACGTGCATTACAAAATTAAAATTAAACATATTGGGTTTTATTGAAGATTTGTCATGTAAGGATCTTCAGTGTGAAAACGGTGGATTGTGCTTTATGTCAAATGGAAAACCTTCCTGTCGATGTAAAAAAGGATACACGGGCGTCTCATGTGAACATAAAAGACCAAGTAAGACCATTTAATTTTCTTATATGATAATATTTGTATTTGTATATCGAGCTGTCCAGATTTAATTGTTTAAATCGATTTAGGATCATGCAAAGATATTATTCTGAGCAATCCCAACAGAAGAATGGGAGAGTACAGAATTTACACAGATGATGGAAAAAGCTTTTTTGTCTTCTGCGAATTTACGGGATCACGTGGCTATACATACATTAAGGACTTTCCAGGAAATTCTCTCCGTCTAAAAAACATTTTATCAAACACAGATGAAATCAAAATCCTTCATCTCCGGACCTCCGGCAAAAGATACAGCACAATAATGGAAGAACTTGTTATAATCAATTCATCCGAAAGTGGATTGACGTCTCTACAAGATATTATCCTAGTATTCCTTCCAGCTACTTTAAAGTTTTTGAGATGCATATGGGAGGGTGTGGAGGATATGTCGTCCCCGGTTTTAGGTCCTTTTCTGATATTGTAGGTGCTGTGCCTGGATTTCGTTTTGGTAAGCTGCTAATATAAGTCTAACCAATTAAAATACTCTAAAATCATTTAAACGATTTATAACACTAAGTAAAGGTCTTAGTAATTTCTGTTTTGAGATTTTTCATGTGCTGATTTACAATGTGGAAACGGTGGATCATGTTTGACGAAAAGAGGAAGACCTGTCTGCTCATGTGGTCCAGGGTACATTGGACTTCAATGTGAAGTCAAAGTTGCTTGTAAGTTTGATCTGAAGCGATGTATTCTAGCATTTGATTCCTTCATAAAAGTTTATTGTGTTGAGGGTATTCATTTTTCTTTTAGCTCAAGTGAGCTTTTCTGTCCATTCACCCGTTTGTTACCTTTTCACATTTTCAACTTCTTCTAAAGAATGACAGGCCTGGTGTTTCCCACAAATTCGAATAAAAAAATCCTTAGGCAAAGGAAAGGTTCAGTTGTAAAAACGAGAGATAAAGTTCCCTTACAAGGGGAGAATTAAAAAAAAAATTTTAAAGACAAAAATATGTCAGAAAAGCAAAACTTAAGTTGAATAATCCTGAGGTAATGTATACTCTGCATTTTTTCAAATCATGACCCCAGGGAGTAAGGTGGGGCTACAATGGGTGATGATTATTCATATAACGTAGGCATCCTCTGGTAGTGTAGATTCAAGCTTGTTCAGATCTTGACCTTCCCCTGTATCATTTTTTAATTGAAACTTTCACAATGACTGATTTCTGCTTTTTCCTAGCCAAAGGTCGCCCAAGTGGCAAAGTGGTTAGAGCGTCTTCTCTGAAGTCGCATAGTACGGAGTTGATCCTTACGTCGCCGGTTCGAATCCCACTGTGGGACTTTCAGAGCGATCCTTCGGATGAAACTGTATAAACCGAGGTCCCGTGTCGCAGAAGGTGCTGGCACGAAAAGGATCCATCCCTGCTCAATGACCCTAAGTGCTGTGCATAGGACAAAATTTGCAGCTCTCCACCGGCAAGTGATGGCGTCTCCATATGAGTGAAAAATTCTCAAGATGGACGTTTAACCGTCAGTTAAAACAACATACAATCAATCAACCAAGCCTAGTCAAAGTGCTTAGGTGAGCAATGTGGCCCATGGGCCTCTGTTTTTTCTTTCTCTGATAGGTTCGTTCTTATGAAAACATTCTCTCTTCCGTGTTTTTCTTCAGATTCCTGTAAAGACATTGCTTTCTCTAGAGGTAAACCTACTGGAGAATACAAGATTTACAACAGACAAAACCAGCCCTATAAAGTGCTCTGTGAATTTCATCAGACCTTTGGTTACACGTTTGTATCAAACACGAATATGGCCATCAACGTCGACGATTTGTTCGAAATCCGATCTCAAGTGTTGGTCCGACATTTGCAACAAGGTCAACAATACGACTCAAATCTGCAGCAGATATCCTATTATAAGAACAAGCCTTTGACAGTTAAGTACAACACAAATGCTGGATTCAACACTCCGGTAAACGCCAAACAGATGGGTCCATATCTTTACCTTGGCTTCTTGGACGCAAGTACAGCAAGATCCAGGTCGACACAAGGCTACAGCGTAAATAACGCCGACCAAACCTTTCGTAACTGTGATGCCAATCCTAACAGTTACATGGCTTTCTATTTCAACAAGGGAAATAAGTCTCCTGTTGGATACTATAAGAAGTGTTGTTACACGCCATTGATGAAGAAATGGATTGACATAGGGGTACCTGTAAATCGGGCTAATCAACTTCCACAGTCATACTTTCTTCAATTTGAGATGCACATGGGGGGTTGTGGAGGATATGTGGTGAGCGGATACAATACACTTGCAAGTATCCGCGGTGCTTCTCTGGGAATGCGTTTTGGTGAGTAACTTTCAAAAACCTTTTTCAACTGAATTTTCAATAATGAACATGTAATTTACATTGAATTTCTTTTCAGAATTATGAAGTTATGAAACGGAGCGGGAGAAAGAAAACAAAAGATGAGATAACAAATAATTTGAATATGAGTATCAATATACAGTTTTCGTAATAAAAACTGATATTTCTTATATTCTGTGTTGTAATGTTGTAGCACTTTTTCACTATACATATATATCCAGCTTTTAACGAATGTATAAAATATACATGTACATAATATAAAAATATAAAATAATGTATAAAAATAATATAAAATATGTTGATCTATCATCAACATATAAATAGAGACCAAGTGTTTTTAAGTCTTTATAATTTCATCCAAAAAACTTGCTGCTCAGAACCTATAGGAATTTTTGAAAAGCGTTCAGTTCCTGCATGTCCTACAGAAAGACAAGGAATTTTAAAAATTAATCCCAATTCAATTTTGTTTGTAATCACTGTGAATTAGAAAGTTATATTCTAAAATCATATCCTTTTTTCAGATTGTGCAAAGAAGGTAAAATTACAATTGACTTATGCAATTATCATTTAATTCTTAATTAGAATTTACTTGTTTCATTTCCATTTTGACATTTTACAACAGGAGATGCTCTAAAATCGCTGACATAAATCAGATCCAATGACTCTAGACATAGTATGTCACACGTTTTTTTTTTCACTGACTTCCAAAAATCCGGGTCTCTATATATGAAAATGTACACGGGATTCTGACATGGATTTACAGAATTTGCATGCCCATAAGACGAACATCGCACGCCTTTCTGGCACGCCTGAAAATTTTTTGCGAGGATTTTTTTTACGTGAGATTACACTAATTAAGCCTATTTTTCACATTAATATTTCTATTTCAAACTTTTATCTCCAATCCTGGCCTCGACCTGCCCATAGGGACCATGATTTTAACAAAACTTGAAACTATTCACGAAGATTTCAAAGACGTCAGGCGACAGGTCATCAAATAAGCTTACTTGAACCTTTGGTAAGGTGAGATTAATATTTGGGTTTCACCGTTATACATGTTAAAATATGAAAGGAAAGGTTCAAGATTTCGAAAAGAAATCTTGAACATTTTCTTTCAGAGAGACAAAAACATTCTTATGATTCAGAGACATAGATTCTTCCCCCTTGGCGGAAGCAAACTTTTAATTACCTGTATTTTAAGGACATGACACTTTAAAAAGTTAATAAAGATACATGTTGTTGTTTCACAGTTTGTACGGGCTTTATTATTGTTTTGATATTCCTTTAAAGCCATATAAGAAAGCATGTACATATGAAAACATATTAGTATATTTATTCAAATACACACCTTCTCTCATACATCATTTTCACTGAATACACTGCACTTCCTATTAAGTGAATGAATCATTAATGTAAATGAAAAACATGTCCAGAAAGTATATAAGAGCTCTTTGGGAATTTCAATTTTTAAAATATTGTTTTTAATAAAAATAAAATATGGATACTAGTATTTTGGGAGAATATATTCTTAAAAAGGTCATATTTCTAAAAATATCGATGATTAAAAAACAAAACAAAACAATGACATAACTGATGAAATCGCATTTTTGATGCTACTTGTTCTTGCATTTTAAATAAATGTTAGATATTCTTCTAGACACTTAGACACCCCTACGGATTTTAAGAAAACAAGATTCTTAAAAACATACCAGTTTTCAACCAATCCTTGTGATAAATTTTTATGTATGTGTTCATTCAAGCTACTAGTTTTTGTGATAGGTTGTTTGTTTGTCAATGTGAGTGCTTCTTGAAATAAACAGAATGTTTTGCTGCATCTTTACAAATACTTCAATTTATAATTTGTCATGACTCTTTCTTAAGACGTGCAAAACAATATTATTACATCTGTAAAGATGCGTCAGTAGCAAAGCGGGAACGCCTTAAAATGAACGACAGAAGTCGAAAAAGAATAATTTCAAAATAGTAATTCTTAATGGAAAACCCCACCTTTGGTGTTTTAAGACAAGAGGCCCATGGGCCTTATAGGTCACCTGAGCATTATGCAACAACTTTCCAGTTATTGAATTTGATTCATGTTTTAAGCCAGATGCTATGGCATTCACAATTTTGAAAGACGCACCATTGATAATCATAACAATACACTCAGCAGTTGCTTAGCTCGGTTACTTAATACCCATAAGCAGGGTAGGGGAACAAAAAATGCATTTCAACTTATCAAAAATATTCAGCAATACCGGTAATTAATAGTGCCCTTACCACATGTACCCCTGATCCTTAGGCCTAGATCCACACACTGGACAAATTTTGAAAAGGAGCAGATTTCAAACAATTCATTCATTTTTAGTACATAAATACAGCCCCCCCTCTATGGTACCCCTGACCCTAAAGCCTTGAAATTCACAGTTCCGGATGATTAGTACCCTTGCTCATCATAACTATATTAAGGTAATTTATCTGCTTCGTACCCAGAGAAAAATTTTTTCAAAGATTTAATGTAATTTTTCACTGCATAATCATTATAGAGCCCCGCCCTAAGACCAGAACCCCTGGTCCTGGGGCCATAAAATTCACAATTTTGGTAGAGGCATTCTTGCTTATCATAACTATGTACTTAGTTAGTTTATTTAATACCCAGGAGCAGAGAAAAAGATTTTCAAATAATTCATGTATTTTCACTATATAATCAATAGAGCCCTGCCCTAACACCAGAATCCCTGACCCTGGGGCCATAAAATTCACATTTTTGGTAGAGGCATTCTTGCTCATCATATTTATGCACTAATTTAGTTTATTTAATACCCAGGAGCAGAGAAGATGATTTTCAAAGTAATAAAGCATTTTCACTATATAATCTATAGAGCCCCGCCCTAACACTAGAACCCCTGACCCTGGGGCCATAAAATTCACAATTTTGGTAGAGGCATTCTTGCTCATCATATTTATGCACTAATTTAGTTTATTTAATACTGAGGAGCAGAGAAAAAGATTTTCAAAGAATTCATGTATTTTCACTATATAATCTATAGAGCCCCGCCCTAACACCAATAACCCTGACCCTGGGGCCATAAAATTCACAATTTTGGTAGAGGCATTCTTGCTCATCATATTTATGCACTTAGTTAGTTTATTTAATACCCAGGAGCAGAGAAGATGATTTTCAAAGTAATAAAGCATTTTCACTATATAATCTATAGAGCCCCGCCCTAACACTAGAACCCCTGACCCTGGGGCCATAAAATTCACAATTTCGGTAGAGGCACTCTTGCTCATCATATTTATGCACTAATTTAGTTTATTTAATACTGAGGAGCAGAGAAAAAGATTTTCAAAGAATTCATGTATTTTCACTATATAATCTATAGAGCCCCACCCTAACACCAGAACCCCTGACCCAGTGGGGCCATAAAAATCACAATTTTGGTAGAGGCACTCTTTCTCATCATAACTATGCACTTATTTAGTTTATTTAATACCCAGAAGCAGAGAAGAAGATTTTCAAAGAAATAATGCATTTTCACTATATAATCTATAGAGCCCCGCCCTAACACTAGAACCCCCGACCCTGGGGCCATTAAATTCACAATTTTGGTAGAGGCACTCTTGCTCATCATATTTATACACTAATTTAGTTTATTTAATACCCAGGAGCAGAGAAGATGATTTTCAAAGAAATAAAGCATTTTCACTATATAATCTATAGAGCCCCGCCCTAACACTAGAACCCCTGACCCTGGGGCCATAAAATTCACAATTTTGGTAGAGGCACTCTTTCTCATCATAACTATGCACTTAGTTAGTTTATTTAATACCCAGAAGCAGAGAAGAAGATTTTCAAAGAAATAATGCATTTTCACTATATACTTATTTAGCCCCGCCCTAGCACTAGAACTCCTGACCCTGGGGCCATGAATTTCACAATTTTGGTAGAGGACTCAAAGCTTATTACAATCATGCAAACAGTTTGCCTGCTTGATGTCCAGGAGTAAAGAAGAAGATTTTTTAACATTGCATTAATATTAGTGGTTTTGGTCCCACCCCTCAGGCCCCAGGGGGGCAAGGATCACGAAATTCACAATTTTTGTTCCCCTTCACCCATAGATGCTTTGTGCCAAATTTGGTTGAAATTGGTTCAGTGGTTGCAGAGAAGAAGCTGAAAATGTTCAAATGTTAACGGACGACGCACGACGCACGACGACGGACGAAAACGGATAGCAATAGGTCACCTGAGTTTACTCAGGTGACCTAAAAATATAATACAATTTTCTGAAATAATCCATTCCCAAATTTTACCCATATTCAAGTACCTATATATAAGGGTTATATGGATAACAACACAACTAGACTATTGTAAAGTCAAGACGATGCATTTCAGACCGACTATCACATTAACTCTATTGACTTTAATCTTTTTGGACATTGCCGCCTGTTTGTGCAAGCCCAGTAAGTAATTTTATAATGGTATTTTAACATTCTTGGAGAACTTTGATGTGATTTTTTTTCTTTCGCTCTTATCATGATTTCAAAGCATCTTATTCATCATTATTGCTACGAATACTGTAAACAGTGTTATTTTCGCCACGTGTTATTTTCACCCTTTTGAACTTGTGAACAATTTTGTCCCGTTTTGAATTCGCCCAGTCAAAGTTTTGTTTAAGAAATTATGAGATGTAATTTGAATTCGCCCCGTTTTAAATTCGCCCAATCAAAGAGAGGGCGAAAGGGGCGAAAATAAAACGGGGGCGAAATTTTCCCTGTATACAGTATTACATTTTGTTGGCGAAAATTAGTATTTGAATGAATTGCAATTGTCACAATTATGATACGTTATAATTAAGGTTTTTATTAGCCAAAATCTCGAGAAAGTGGGGATTTGATATTATTTTCTTATTATTGTTTTTACATTGAGATTCAAATCAGTTGGTGTTTATTACTGTTTTATCGTGTTTTATCATTGAGTTTTCATTTAGATATCAAAATACAGTACACGTATAGATTTGGGGAAGAATAATAAATTCAGGCTGGTTTGTATCTTACATGTATGTCCTTGAACTCGGCCAATTGACCACAGTAAAGTCAACAATTAAGGATTTTAAAAGAATATGCTTGTTGTTTGAGTGCTTATCACACAGACTTGCACTTATGCATCA